TGGTAGGAAGTCAGCCAGCAGACCAGACACTTATTTTTCAAGAACCACCACTGTGAGGAAGCATTGATAGCACTCACAGGAGCTTGTCCATGTAGAGGCTGGAGGGGAAGAGGACAGCAGTGAAAAGAAGTGACGTACCCAACCCTCACCTGCCAGGTCATCGCAAGACCAGAGCAGGAGAGTAAGTGAACCCTTAGTATGCCCCACAAAATGGAAGAGAGGAGGAAGCTATGTTCCCCATGGCAACCAGTGAAAGGTTGAGCTATGGGACCCAGCATGGGAATATATGGGTTAGATATCACACGTGCATCACATAGAACCTGACATGTAGTGGAGACATCGAGCTTTTACTGATTATTTTGAATTTGGGAGGTCTGCCCATACCACAGACACTCAGGGCTAGCAGACCATAGGTGATGGACCTTGTCATCAAGAGTGATTGCTCCAGAGGCAAGGGACCATCAAATTTGATGAATCAGGGGGAAACCAGATAGTACTCTGAAAAGAGGGAAAAGCAAGTGGGTGTAAAAATACAGGAAGGTGAAGGTGCCTCTAAAAGAGGAAGATGTACCCCTTACAAGGAAAAGGAACATAAAACCACCAAGATGGGGGATAATAAAAGAAAGAAGAGCATTTAGAAAATTTACAGGAAACCACAGTATAATATCATACTCATCATTCACTGTAATATGAAGCTTTAGAAGAGCCAAGGAACTGGTGTGACAGATGCCCATGATAAAGGCATGTACACACTTTGTCCAGTGTTGGAAAGGGTGATGAAGCAGGCTGTGGGACTTGGTGGGGGGGGGGGGAGTCAGCAACTGGATTTATATTTGTGTGAATATTGCAATATCTTTAATTTATTGTTTAGCATTTCCAAGCCAAAATGACTGCATTAACATTTGTATGTATGGAAAGGGAAATACTGAAGAAGTGCATGTCTAATTGTACAGTTGGTACATGCAATGAAAAATTCTAATAATAAATTCTTTTACTTCTTACAGGAGAAATTCACTCTGAAGAAGATTGTCCTTGTGTTTGATCAGCAAGATTCAATGCTCAGTAATCTACATTTGTCACATGTTTCAATTTTATATAGACATAGCCTTGATTTTAGATTTGATAGAGGTTTCATCGAGACTTGCAGGTCCTATATGAAAGGCACACTCTTTGTGATGATGTCTGGAGTTAGCACTGCTATAAATTTTAAACCTGACAGACGATGTAGATATTTTGGGTGCTTGCCAGCATTCAAGAGAGTAGAACTTCAGAGAGATACTGACTCCAGATTATATCAGATTTTGGTATCAAGAGCAAAGATGTTAAGAGAGCACATAGCTGGGAATTCCAGTAAATACAAAGTTTTATTCACAGACTTGCTACCTTTACAACTAGATGCTTTAGAAAGATATAATGCTCTCAACCATTTGAAAACATCTGGTCATGTGATTCCTATATTACCAGAAATGTCGTATTTGGTGGAAAATATTTGTCTCTCAAGTGCCGTGGAGAGGTTTAATAGTTGGGCACGGACGGATGCAGCTGCCCAAGGCTTTCAAGAGTGGAGCTGCATTGAGAAAATCAGAAAACCACAGTATTCTAGTAATGGTAGAACTTTAGTTACATGTGTCCAAAGGTACCGGAAAGTGGCTATCACATCAGCTATCCGTAAGACTGTGCAAAAGTTAGTTGCGGATACTAATTCAGTGTTAACAAAATCACCACTAAATAGTTCTGATTTATTTAATTCTTCTCAAGTTGCTTTAGTGAGCCATGCAGTGCATTCAACTCCAGAAATGAGTGCTAATATTTCATTGGCAGCCACAGCAGCTGGTAGCTCACAGACAGATTCTACGGGCAAAATGCAATCTACAACTACTTCAAAACCTACAAACAAGAACTTGTCAATAAGCCGAGTTGCTGATAAAAAAACACTCCATGGAAAATGCTCTGCACAGGAAAATCCTGCTACCGTAGTAGGATTTGAAACAACAGCAAAGATACCAGGTACAGTAAGCATGTCAGGAGGATTAGAATCAACTTGTGAAACAACAGTAGTCTGTAATGTAGGAGATTCTGTAGGGGAGACACCAATCACATCAGCTTCAACAAACAAGACAGAAATTGCAACAAAGTCTACCAGTAAAACAACAACTTTTTCAGACACCACACTAGCCACAACAACAGATTGTACAAGCAGGACATCGGCTGCAGTAACATGTATGAGCAAGATGCCCACCACAACATCTACAAGCATGACACCAGCAGCAACAACCTCATCTACAAACAATGTGCCAGCCACAATGGTAATTTCTGCAAGCCAGACAAAGCCATTAATATCTACAAGTGAGATACCAACCACAACAACAACTTCTACATACAAGACAACGACTATATTTACAAATAAAATGCCAATCACAACACCTTCCACAAGCAAGGCACTCAATACAACAGTTATATGCACAACACCAGCTACACCCAGTGGTTCTATAAACAAAACACCAAATACAGAAACTTCTACAAGCAAAATGCAAACTACAACAAAAGCAGCAGCTTCTGTGAGCAAGATGTCAACCACTAAAAGTGAGGCAACTGAAACCACAACTACTTTAGGTAAGACAGCAGCTCCTGTAAGCAAGACAGCTGCAGTAACAGCTTCTACAAGCAAGACACAAAATACAGGGATAGTTTCTACAAGCAGGACACCAACTACAACAACAGCATTTTCAGATGATACACCAGCTGCTACAACAATAGATTTTACAAGAGAGACGAACAAGACAACTGACACAACAGTTTTTACAAGCATTCCACAAGTTACAACAGTTATGAGTAAGACACCAACAGCATCACCATCTGCTACAACTACTTCCACAAGCAAGGCACCAACTACAACATCCTCTTCCTGCAAGACACCAACTGTTACAACACCCTCTACAAGCAAGGTGCCACCTACAACACCCTCTACAAGCAAGGTGCCACCTACAACACCCTCTACAAGTAAGGTGCCACCTACAACACCCTCTACAAGTAAGGTGCCACCTACAACACCCTCTACAAGCAAGGTGCCACCTACAACACCCTCTACAAGCAAGGTGCCACCTACAAACACCTCTACAAGCAAACACCTCTCTACAAGCCAGCTACAACACCCTCTACAAAGCAAGGTGCCACCTACACACTACCACCTACACAAGCAAGGTGCCACCTACAACACCCTCTACAAGCAAGGTGCCACCTACAAACCTCTACAAGCAAGGTGCCAACTAAAACACCCTCTACAAGCAAGGTGCCACCTACAACACCCTACAAGCAACCACCTACAACACCCTCTACAAGCAAGGTGCCACCTACAACACCCCTCTACAAGCAAGTGCCACCTACAACACCCACTACAGCAAGGTGCCACCTACAACACCCTCTACAAGCAAGGTGCCACCTACAACACCCTCTACAAGCAAAGTGCCACCTACAACACCCCTTTCACAAGCAAGTGCCACCTACACACCCCTCTACAAGTAAGGTGCCACCTACAACACCCACTACAAGCAAGGTGCCACCTACAACACCCTCTACAAGCAAGGTGCCACCTACAACACCCTCTACAAGCAAGGTGCTACCTACAACACTGTCTTCAACCAAGGCACCAACTACAACAACAGCCTCTTTAAGCAAGGTGACTACTACAACACCCTCTACAAGCAATGTGACAACTACAGCAACAACCTCTACAAGCAAGACACCAGCTACTACAACAACTACAAGCAACGGCAACTACAAACCTCTACAAGCAAGCAACTACAACACTACAGCAAGGCAACTACAACACCCTCTACAAGCAAGCAACAAACTACAACAACATCTACAAGCAGGCAACAACTACAACAGCCTCTACAAGCAAGGCGACAACTACAACAGCTTCTACAAGCAAGCCGGCAACTACACCACCCTCTACAAGCAAGGCAACAACTACAACAACAGCCTCTACAAGCAAGGCACCAACTACTTCAACAGCCTCTACAAGTAAGGCACCAACTACAACACCCTCTACAAGCAAGGCACCAACTACTTCAACAGCCTCTACAAGTAAGGCACCAACTACAACACCCTCTACAAGCAAGGCACCAACTACAACACCCTCTACAAGTAAGGCAACAACTACAACACCCTCTACAAGCAAGGCAACAACTACAACAACAGCCTCTACAAGCAAGGCAACAACTACAACAACAGCCTCTACAAGCAAAGCACCAACTACAACAACAACCTCTACAAGCAAGACACCAACTACAACAACAGCCTCTACAAGCATGACACCAACTACTACAACAACCTCTACAAGCAAAGCACCAACTACAACAACACCCTCTACAAGCAAACAACTACACACTACTACAACAGCCTCTACAAGCAAGGCACCAACTACTACAACACTCTCTACAAGCAATGTGACAACTACAGCAACAACCTCTACAAGTGAGGCACCAACTGCTACAACACCCTCTACAACCAAGACACCAACTACTACAACAGTCTCTACAAGCAAGGCACCAAGTACAACAGCCTCTACAAGCAAAGTGACAACTACAACAACAGCCTCTACAAGCAAAGTGACAACTACAACAACAGCCTCTACAAGCAAAGTGACAGCTACAACAACAGCCTCTACAAGCAAAGTGACAACTACAACAACAGCCTCTACAAGCAAAGTGACAACTACAACAACAGCCTCTACAAGCAAGATGCCAATTACAACAAAACCTACAAGCACAGTACCAAATACAACACCCTCTACAAGCAAGGTGCCACTTACACAAACTACAACACCCTCTACAAGCAAGGCACCAACTACAACACCCTCTACAAGCAAGACTACTACAACAGCTCTACAAGCTCAACTACACAGCCTCTACAAGCAACAAAGTACTACAACAGCCTCTACAAGCAAGTCACCAACTACTACAACAGCCTCTACAAGCAAGTCACCAACTACTACAACAGCCTCTACAAGCAAGTCACCAACTAGTACAACACCCTCTACAAGCAAGGCACCAACTACTACAACACCCTCTACAAGCAAGGCACCAACTACAACACCCTCTACAAGCAACACCACTACAACACCCTCTACAAGCAAGGCACCAACTACAACACCCTCTACAAGCAAGGCACCAACTACACACAGCCTCTACAAGCAAGCACAGTACAACCAACTACAACAGCCTCTACAAGCAAGGCACCAACTACTACAACACCCTCTACAAGCAAGGCACCAACTACAACACCCTCTACAAGCAAGGCACCAACTACAACACCCTCTACAAGCAAGACACCAACTACTACAACAGCTTCTACAAGCAAGTCACCAACTACTACAACACCCTCTACAAGCAAGTCACCAACTACTGCAACAGCCTCTACAAGCAAGACACCAACTACAACAACAGCCTCTGCAAGCAAGACACCAATTACTACAATAACCTCTACAAGCAAAGCACCAACTACAACAACAGCCTCTACAAGCAAGACACCAACTTCAACAACAGCCTCTACAAGCAAGACACCAACTACAACAACACCCTCTACAAGCAAGGCACCAACTACTACAGTAATTTACAACAACCCTCTACTTACAACCTCTACAAACAAGCGACAACAGCCTCTACAAACAAGGCACCAACTACAACAGCCTCTACAAGCAAGGCGACAACTACAACAGCCTCTACAAGCAAGGCGACAACTACAACAGCCTCTACAAGCAAGGCGACAACTACAACAGCCTCTACAAGCAAGGCGACAACTACAACACCTCTCACAACAACAGCCTCTACAAGCAAGCACAACTACAACATTACAAGCAAGGGACTTTACAACACCCTCTACAAGCAAGGCAACTACAACAGCCTCTACAAGCAAAGTGACAACTACAACACTGTCTACAAGCATGGCAACTACTACAACAGCCTCTACAAGCAAGACACCAACAACACCCTCTACAAGCAAAGTGACAACTACAACACTGTCTACAAGCATGGCAACTACTACAACACCCTCTACAAGCAAGGCACCAACTACAACACCCTCTACAAGCAAGGCACCAACTACAACACCCTCTACAAGCAAGCTACTACACCCTCTACAAGCAAGACACCAACTACTACAACACCCTCTACAAGCAAGACACCAAACTACACAAGCCTCTACAAGCAAAGACACCAAACTACTACAACAGGCCTCTACAAGCAAGGCACAACTACAACAACACCCTCTACAGCAAGACACCAACTACTACAACACCCTCTACAAGCAAGACACCAACTACAACAACAGCCTCTACAAGCAAGACACCAACTACTACAACACCCTCTACAAGCAAGACACCAACTACAACACCCTCTACAAGCAAGACACCAACTACTACAACACCCTCTACAAGCAAGACACCAACTACTACAACAGCCTCTACAAGCAAGACACAACTACTACAAACACCCTCTACAAGCAAGACACCAACTACTACAACAACAGCCTCTACAAGCAAGACACCAACTACCACAACACCCTCTACAAGCAAGACACCAACTACCCTCTACCACCAACTCACCCTCTACAAGCAAGACACCAACTACTACAACACCCTCTACAAGCAAGACACCAACTACTACAACACCCTCTACAAGCAAGACACCAACTACAACACCCTCTACAAGCAATGTGACTACAACAACACCCTCTACAAGCTCACCTGCAAGCAAGGCGACAACAACAGCCTCTACAAGCAAGGTAACAACTACAACAACACCCTCTACAAGCAAGGAACTACAACACCTCTACAAGCAAGAACTACAACAAACACCCTCTACAAGCCAACTACAACACCCTCTACAAGCAAAGGTACTACAACAACACCCTCTACAAGCAAGGTAACTACAACATACAAGCAACTACAACACCACCCTCTACAAGCAAGGTAACTACAACACCACCCTCTACAAGCAAGGTAACAACTACAACACCACCCTCTACAAGCACAACTACAAACACCTTCTACAAGCAAGGTAACAACTACAACAACACCCTCTACAAGCAAGGTAACAACTACAACAACACCCTCTACAAGCAAGGTAACAACTACAACAACACCCACTACAAGCAAGGTGACAACAACACCCTCTACAAGAAAGGAACCAACTACAACACCCACTACAAGCAAGGTGCTACCTACAACACCCTCTACAAGCAAAATGCTTCCTACAACACCCTCTACAAGCAAAATGCTTCCTACAACATCCTCTACAAGCAAGGAACCAACTACAACACCCACTACAAGCAAGGTGCTACTTACAACACCCTCTACAAGCAAGGTACTACCTACAACACCCTCTACAAGTAATGTGCTACTTACAACACCCTCTACAAGCAAGGTGCTACCTACAACACCCTCTACAAGCAAGGTGCTACCTACAACACCCTCTACAAGCAAGGTGCTACTACAACCCTCTACAAGCAAGGTGCTACCTACAACACCCTCTACAAGTAATGTGCTACTTACAACACCCTCTACAAGCAAGGTGCTACCTACAACACCCTCTACAAGCAAGGTGCTACCTACAACACCCTCTACAAGCAAGGTGCTACCTACAACACCCTCTACAAGCAAGATGCTACCTACAACACCTTCTGCTAGCAAGGCACCAACTGCATGTTCTGCAAGCAAGACTCTGACCATAACAGGTACAAGCAAGACACAGGTTATAACAGCTTCAATAAGCAAAACACCAACTACAAATGTTTCTACAACCAAGACACCAGGTACAACACCTAGCAGCAAGATGGTAGCTACAGCTACAACTACAATCAAGACACCAACTACAACATCATCTTCATCAAGCATGACACCTACTACAACAATAGTTTCTACAAGCAAAACACCAGTTACAGTAACAAAAAAGTCTCCATCTACAACACCTACAAGCAAGACATCAGTTGCAACACCTGCAAATAAGACACTGGCTACTACAAGAGCTTCCACAAATGAGACACCAACTACAACAAAAGCTCGTACAAGGGACACATCTGCAACATCTGTACCGTCTACATGCAAGGCACTAGCAACAAAAACAGTTTTTACAAGCAGGACCTCATCCACAGACCCAATTTCTACCAAGACTCCGACTATTATAAGCAAGACACCGACCACTACTCCAACTACAACAGCAGCTTCAAAAGGCAAATTATTAATCACAAATTCTACATGTACAAACAATCTGTCTGCTAGAATAACAGGGTCTAAAAACAAGTTATTAATCACAGCACCCACTGCTACGGCAAATGAGGCACCACCTACGAAGCATAGGATATCACTGTCATCTGCAAACAGTACCCCGATCATTAAAAGTTCTACAATCACATTAGGAATCAGGGGTCCATCACCATCTGTAAGTAGGACTCAGGACAAGCCAGTCATGTCACCCTCCTGTGCTACAGGCAGAACACCGGTTACCGCACCGTCAAAATCCTCGGCCATTGTGCTTATCCCCACAACATCTCCTGGCAATTCAGGCAAGGCAGCAAACATTTCCCTTCAAGGACCTGTTAGGAGAACACCAGTTTCCTCTCAGGATTCCACAAACAATGTTCTGAAAGCGTCAGGTAACACAGGTAGCCCTGCATTGATGACTGCTGCTTCAACAACAAGGGCTACGAAAAGAGTACCAGTGACTGCTCCTTCAGATTCTCCAGACAAGACACCGACCAGCTCATCATTACAGGTAAGTAGTGTTTCAGCACAAAGGTCTATTTATTTATGTCTCTCTCTTTCTCATCTTTTTTCTTGGATCCACTTATTTCTTTCCTCCCTCCTATCCCTCCTCCCTTTCTCCAAAAGGGACTTCATGACCTAGAAAAGCTATTGGCCACCACATAACTCCAATTTACTCCAATTTCTTTTTGATTTTGATTGCTCATATGTCATTTCTAATAGATATATTTTCTTTTATGAGTGTGCTTGTCAGTGCACTGTTTTAAGTTCCAATTCTTGTTCTTGCAGGTTATTAAAGAAACCACATCCATTTTGAGAAATTCCAGAAATGATAGGTATGGTGTGATTACTGTTTTCTTTTCCTATTCTTCTTTAGTCTTTAAGCTCAGTGGTATGTTTATATATTTTATTTTCTTCATTATAAGAAACAAGAACAAATTTAGGTCAGTATAAATTATAGAAACTTGTTGATATATATATATTTTTTTTATTACATTTTTTCTCACAAAAATCCAGCAAGCCAAATGAAGAAACTGGAGAATCCTTCTTTAAGAATGTAGTTGTCCTTGGCAACATCATGTACAAAAGAGTTCTATCCAAATTAAACTCAGCCAGGGTAAGTAAATAAGGTAGAGTATAAATCACATGCAGTTGAAATTCATGTAGATAAATGTAAAAATTTATTAAATCACACCTGATGTATATAAATAAATTAGTGGATATGTATCTGTGTATAAGAAATAAGAACATCCACACTTTCTCAACTTGTCTTTCCCCCTCTAAAAATTTCAGGTTATTGTCCTAGCAGACGAGGATATTAGACTGTCAACCATTCCAGACATAGTGAGTAAAAATTTGAATGAACAGACAAAGAACTCTCTGTGGATCCTAACGCTGGGAATCTATGACTTTGTTGAGTTTGAACCCTGTTCGTCCTGCAAGAGGTGCTTCACCCAAATGTCCTCTCTCTCGTTCAGAGAGTGCAAGAACAGGAAGGCAATGAAAGATATGGTAAGGATCATGCTGCATCATAGCCAGAAGATGAAAGAGTCAGTGCAACGGAAACTTGGAAGCCATGGCGTTGTGGTCTTAGTCCCTCCCATACCAGCATCTGTGATTGAGGAAGAGAGTTTCCCTGTTCACTCTGACCTCCACAAAGTCTGTGAAATGAGTAATGGGTATTGCACTCCAAGCAAAATTTTAAACTGTCTGTATGCTATTTTTAATGCATATTGTAATGGATTGCACATTGATGAGGATTTCATTAACTGTGGAATGTCGCCACATGTGATCATGCAGTACAGAGAGGCGCTTAATGGGAGGAACCTAGTGCCGGTAATGGATTTGAAGGATTATTCTTATGTAACCAGAGCATGGATAGTGATGGTGAAAGTGGTTATCCAATTGGCACTGAAAATTACACCAAGAAAACTATTATTGCAAGGGTTAATAGATGAACCTTGTCCTACAGCAGTTCTTAAGAAGGGGAAACCAGAGTCTGATTCTCTACCAGTGGTGGTCTCCAAAGCTTCAGAGCTGGAAAGTTTGAATCACAAGTCCACAGCAGCAAGCATCACAAGTCCTCCAGAGCTGGAAAAACTTGCCTCAAGTCCTACACCTGCTATGGTCTCAGTGACTACAGAACAAGGAAAATCTAGTCTCATTAGTACTCCGGCAGCAGTTATAAAAACAGAGAAGGAAATGTCAGGTTCTAGAAGGAAATCTGTGACAGCAACAGCAGCCCTTTTGGGTCCTTCAGAACAGGACAATTTGAATCTTAAATCAGCACAAAAAGAGGCCATGAAATGTTTAGAGGTTGAAGGATCAAAAACAAACTCCAGAACAGTTACAAAGACTTCAGAGCAGGAAGAAATAGTGAATGAATCAAAGTACAACTACAATGATGTCATTGTCATAGGATCCAAGCACATTTTTGAACAGTTGGAAGCCATGGCACTAGATTTGCCAATCCATTTCATTGAGCAGAGAATATACTTCAGTGACTTCAACAAATTTACCATCAAAGAACAACAAAAGAAGTGGCCACATAATGCTCTATGGGTATTACTGGTGGACTTGCATTCAGTCTTGTACACCCCTACTCTTGCTGGTCCAAAATGTGCTGCAGCAGAATGTCAGAGTCCTGTGTTGTGCTATGACCTAAAAAGTTCATATTCCTGTACTCAAGTCAAGAAGGATATTAGTGTAATCATTAGCCGAGCTAAGGATTTCGTCTCGGAGTCAAGAGAGTATTTAGGAAAAGGTTCCTCCCTAGTTTTAGCTCCCATTCCCCCAGATTCTGTCATATGGGCGGGAATAAACTCTCACTGCACTCACAACTACATCCACGCAGTAAGTGAAAAGCAGTTGAACATCTCTTTCCTCATCGGTCAGTCACAGCTGTGGAATATGTACAGCACTGCTCTCATATCTGAGTGGATTGCAATGCTGGAGGACTTTTCCCTTAAATCGGAACATAGAGCACTGTTGAAGAAGTACCATAGTGAAAGGAAACTTATTTTGCATTTTATAGATATTTTGCAAGATATTTCAAAGAATGAGGGATTATTGGGAGACTGGAATGAACTTGTGAAAAATATGCTGTTTTGCTTGATGAATGTAGAAGATTCTGAAGGACCCCAACCAGTTAAGAAAGCATCAATGTGCTCCTATGGTAAGTTTCATTTGTCTTTAACTTGTATACTTTCATTTCCAGATTTCAGCTATATTGTAGCTTACCATAAAGTATTCCTGCTTATATGCTAATATTCACATAGACCACAGTAAAAAATTTACTGACAAAAATATCCTGCAGAAAGAATGTTGATTTTAAAGGCTAGTTATTGTTTTATCCATTTTATGTCTATATATAAGTTGTATGTACTAAGACAATGTGTCATCATTGTCTCAAATATCCAACATGCACGATATAGAAGAATCACTCATAGGAAGAACCAGGTGTGTTTTGTTGCAAAGGAATGTGTGATATATATGATGCAGCAGAAAAGGTAGCTTCATAAAAGTAGTGGAAGTATTCTCAATGTAAAAAGTAGTGTGAATAGCAAAATGTTTTACCTAGCTGATACAATGGCTGTTTCTTCTTCCAGTGAATTCCTTGTGTATGTCTTTTTCTTCAGTAGACATTGATATTGATCCCTCCAAATCAGGCAAAAAAAGCCAGCCAATTCCCCAGTGAAAGTGCAGACAACTCAAAATGAAGTACTGTGGAACCTATTTTCAGAACGATGTGGGGATGGTGATGAAATCACATCACCTGAGGCTAGTTGTGAAGAGCATCAAAATACAAGGACAGGTGTTTTACCGCTATCCAAGAAGCCATCAGAGGATTGGTCCAGACATGCAGAGCAAGGTCCTTGCAGATTGACAAAACCTGGGGAAGGAAGCAACACCCAAGAGGAGGAAGGTAACACGACTAAGTTAGGAGTTCCTGTCTGTCTTGAAGCTGAAAATATATCTGTCAAAGAACCAAGTAAGTTTGATAGTAGCTGATATCCAAGTGTCAGTTTTGAAAAGGAAATTCTTTTGTCCACAAGGGTTATCTAATCATTCTCAAATGAAGTAATGTTATGATATCACTTTTTCAAATTTATATTTTGCCTTTAATAAGTAAAAAATCAGTGAAGAGAAAGGATAATTTATCCATATTAAGAATTATAATGTACAGAGAGATAGATGTAAAATTACCTTCTGTATTACTTACAAATATTACTGATAAACCACCAGGTCTTCGTGAGAGAGGCACGAGATGGGACAAGAAAACGCCTGTAGTAAGAGGACATTCATGCACTGAGAAAGATAAGATCGCTTCTGAATTTTCCAGGCTCCATGTGGTTACAGGACTAGCAAGGAAAGCTCAGTCCCAGAAGGGTTCAGCTCAGTCAAATGGTGTAATGAGTAAAGAAAACGATAAGTTACAACCTCACTTTACAGCTCAGGAAAACTGCACGTTGAGTCAAGCAGAAAAAGGAAAGTTTGTAAATTCTTTCATTCCAAGCAGCCCACTCGCCCAGAAAGCTGTTTGCCAAGAACATGCAGTAGAATTGACTTCATGTGAAGACCAGGAAGAGATGTCAGATGCTGGCCAGTCAGGGGTTGATTCATCTGTAGAGTCATCTTGTGAAGCTGGAAATACTGCCACCAATCAGCAGATGAATAAAAAAGCTATTTCGATAAAGATCCGTAAAATACCTACTGTAAGTTGTTCAAAAGGATCTGTAGAGGGTAAAGAACCCCAGGCTTGGGAAATTGTTCCTGCTGTGGAGGGTAAAGCTAAGGAGTCCTGTTGTTCAGTTGATAATGAAGAAGGTAATTCATCTGAACTTTTAATCTCATCTGACAAACAGACAAATACCTTGCAGTGTGCTAAATCTAAAGCTCCTGCCAGTCTTTCAAAACTTGTCCAGCCAGACACAATCAGCCAGCAAGACTGTGCTTCCAAAGAAGACAAACTGGAAGAAAAACATATGGCCAAAAAACAGGAGTTAATCTTATTTCCTACCAAAAAAGATGAAAAAACTCCAACAGCTTCCAAAAACCTCCCCACAGAAAGAGGAAGCCAGACAGCGGCAGCTGGAAACAAGTGTTGGATAACTATTGAGAATATTAATCCTCATTTTAAAGGTAGTGATGTCAGGAATCTCCTGGAAGTGTGTGGGCCTGTTGAGTCCTATAAACGTCCAGTCACGCAGTTTGATAAAACAGCAAGTAAGTATATTCTCTTCCAGCTATGTTTCTCTTAATGTCATATTACATTTCACAATAAGTGGCTCATTATTATGTTTTTTAAACACAATGCAGGAGATTGAAATTAAATGATGGTGTTATTTCTCTCTAGGTATTCTAATGGTGGAATTTGTCAATTCCTGTGCAGCTTCACATGCTCTAGGAATTCTCAACTCTTATAAGATCTTTGGAAAAAATGTTAAAGCGAAGAGATCAGGAGGATCCAACTTGCCAGTTGATATATCAGGTTATTATTTGATGATTAATTAATTTTCTCTCTTTTTCTTTGACTCATATCAACAACTAACTCTCTCTCTCTCTCTCTCTCTCTCTCTCTCTCTCTCTCTCTTCTCTCTCTCTCTCTCTCTCTCTCTCTCTCTCTCTCTCTCTCTCTCTCTCTCTCTCTCCTCTCTCTCTCTCTCTCTCTCTCTCTCTCTCTCTCTCTCTCTCTCTCTCTCTCTCTCTCTCTCTCTCTCTCTCTCTCTCTCTCTCTTTCTCTCTCTCTCTTCTCTCTCTCTCTTCTCTCTCTCTCTCTCTCTCTCTCTCTCTCTCTCTCTCTCTCTCTCTCTCTCTCTCTCTTCTCTCTCTCTCTCTCTCTCTCTCTCTCTCTCTCTCTCTCTCTCTCTCTCTCTCTCTCTCTCTCTCTCTCTCTCTCTCTCTCTCTCTCTCTCTCTCTCTCTCTCTCTCTCTCTCTTCTCTCTCTCTCTCTCTCTCTCTCTCTCTCTCTCTCTCTCTCTCTCTCTCTCTCTCTCTCTCTCTCTCTCTCTCTCTCTCTCTCTCTCTCTCTCTCTCTCTCTCTCTCTCTCTCTCTCTCTCATATACCTCTTTTATGTACTTGCTGACTGAGCATGGGAGGAGGCCAAGATGCAAAGTTGGACATGAATCGCAGGGCGGCTACAACCACAGGGGTAGTATTTTGTCATTTTCCATTGGCTGATCTTTGCAGGTCATCTGGTGCCACGAGCATCAGCAGAAACTAGGTAACAGTCCTCTCTGTTGGTTATTACAGACGTGAGAGCCTTATACTTTGTTGGGAGACAGGTGATTGGTCATTAGTTTTTATGGTTCTCTGTTCTCTACTCTTGGGTAGCGGGTATATTCGGGTCCTCTTTTCCCTACTGTTGATTGGCAGCTATGCCATACTGGTTGTCAGCCAGTCTGGTGCTTCTGTTGGGTTAGCTGCTGTTTTGGAAATTACCAAAAGCCAACTCTTCCTGTAGAGTGGCCAGGTATTTGAGCTAGAAATTCAGCAACCCATCTGTACCAGGTGATTTCTAATTTCAAACATTATTGGCTGCTGTTTTTACTGCCTCAAGTGTTTTCTGTCCATTCATGGGTGCAGCTTCAGATGGTGCAGCTACTAGGGATCTGAATTATTTGTGGCACCTTCCCATAAGTCTGCCCAGAATTCCTTTGCTTCTTCCAGTGGTTCTTTCACTTGCTCTTTAAAACTCCCTCGCACCCTCAGCAAAAACCTTGTTCTGTGTGAAGAAGGCGTCTCTCTTTTTACATCTCAGTCTTTGTGATTTTGCTTGCAGCATTTGCTTTACAGCCTCTCCCAGTTCTTTCCAGCCTGTTTCATAGCCTTTACATTTCTGTATCAGTTTCTCACACTAGTTGGGGTTAAGAGATGAGTGCCTTTATCTGTTTCAGATATGAGACATGTATCGCTCCTCAACTCAATTATTTTCCATTCAGGCTTGTTATTACTGTTGCTGTTGTTGTTATTATTACTATTATTGTTGCTGTTAGTAGTAGTAGTAGTAGTACTATTAACCCCATGCCGCCAGGCATGGCATGTACTTACATGCCATGCCCCATTGTGCGTGTTGAATTTAGTAATTGTTTTTACATATAGATGGCTCCTCTAGTATTTCATACTGCTGTTAGTAATGTCAGTAACAATATAGTAATTATAATGTTTATAACAAAATTAACAGTATCAATATTGATAGCATTAGTAAAAATAAGCATTTTCCCACTTTTTCAAGGAAAAGTGAGGTCGCATGATCTACTAATTGACTTCTTTGTGGTTAAGCATTAGCAGAGCCATCTATGTGCAGAAACATTTAACCAAGCATTGCCAAAGGGAACGCACTATTTTAAATTGACATTGGGATAATATTATTCATTATTAACTTATTGCTTTTGTTGTTAATGATTATGATAAGAATAAAATGTTACAACTAATAATAAAGATGATAAAGTAGAATTTTTATGAATACAATCATTAGAGTATATATTGTAGCCCATAGGGCTGAAAAAATCATCAGTTGCACATGTTATTCTTAACTCTTTTTCTAATTAATTTTAAAAACCACTTTCACTTTTATTCAAACAGACAGTAGAAATGAGGAACTGGTGTCGAAGATTGTCAGCAGAGCGACGGAAAATAACATCAAGATACACCTACCAGAAAACATGATAGTTAAGAACGTGTGCAATGCCTCCACCAACTTCCTGAAGAAGGCTCCGGATGACGGAAGAGATGTCAGCTTGAAGGATGTTGCTCGTAAAAAGGAAGATTGTGAGAAAGGGAAGGAAGATATCGGTAAAGGCAGGGGAGATCTGAAAGAAAATAACATGGGTAAAGGCAAGAAAGATCTGAAGAATGATGATTTAGATAAAATCAAGGGAGACCTGAAAAAGGATAATATGGATAAATGCAAGGGAGATCTCAAGGATTTGGATAAAGGAAAGAGGGATAATTTGGATAATAGCATGGGAGATGTGAAAGATTTGGATAAAGGCAAGAAAGATCTGAAGGAGGATAATTTGGATAAAAGCAAAAAGGATCTGAAGAAAGAAAATTTGGATAAGAGCAAGGATGATATGGATAAAGGCAAGGGAGATCTGAAGGATGTGGATAAAGGCAAGAAGGATTATTTGAATAATGGCAAAGGAGATGTGAAGAATGATAATTTGGATAAAAGCAAGGGAGACCTGAAAAAGTATGATATGGATACAAGTAAGGAAGATCTCAGGGATTTGGATAAAGGCAAGGGAGATGTGAAGGATTTGGATAAAGGCAAGAAAGATCTGAAGAATGATAATTTGGATAAAAGCAAGGAAGATCTGAAAAAGGTTGATATGGATAAAGGTAATGGGAATGTCAGGGATTTGGATAAAGGCAAGAAGGATAGTTTGGAGATAGGCAAGGGAGATCTCAAGAATTTGGAAAAAGGGAAAATAGATCTGAGGAAGGAAAATTTGGATAAAGGCAAGGAAGATCTCCAGGATTTAGATAAAGGCAACGAGGATTTAAAGGATAATAATCTGGATAAAGGAAAGGGAGATCCGAAGGCCTTGAATAAAGGTAAAACAGATTTGAAGAATGATAATTTGGATAAAGGAAAGGGAGATCTGAAGGAGGATAATTTGGATAGATAAAGGAAATTTGGAAGAATGATAATTTGGATAAAGGAAAGGGAGATCTGAAGGAGGATAATTTGGATAAAGGAAAGGGAAGTCAGAAGGATGACAATATGGATAGAGTCAAGAAAGATCTCAGTAAAGAGGATTTGGATAAAGATAAGGGAGATGTGAAGGATTTAGATAAAGACCAAAAAGATCTGGAGGAGGATAATTTGGATAAAATTAAGGGAGATGTCAAGGAAGACGATTTGGAACATCCAAAAAGGGATAGCTTGGATGGAAACAAGGATCTAAAGAAAGAGGATTTGGATAAAGTTAATGGAAATATGAAGAAGGATAACATGGAAGAGACCAAAGGAGAACTGGAGATTCAAGGAAGAGGAGGATAAAAAGATCTGAAAAAGGATGAGATAAAGACGAGGGAGATCTGAAGGAAGATGGTTTGGATAAGATGCAAGATCAGAAGAATGATGTGGATAAAGGCGAGAAAGACCACAAAAAGGATGATTTAGAGCAAGGTAAGGCCGGCCGTGAGAAGGAAGATGTGGATAAAGGCAATAAATATCCCAAAGAGGATAATTTGGATACAGGAAAGGCAGGTCTCAAGAAGGAAGATGCAGATGACAGCAAGAAAATTCTGAAAGAGGAGGATTTAGAGAAAGGCAAGGAAGATCTCAAAAAGGAGGATATTGATGAAAATAAGGAAGATCTCAAAAAGGAGAATATTGATGAAAATAAGGAAGATCTCAAAAGGGAGGACTGTGGGGAAGTCAAAGAAGAATCCAAGAAAGACGATGTGGAGAGAGGTAAGAAAGATTGTTTAAATGTAGGATGTGGGTAGATTTCAGGAGGATTGCAAAACGGAACATGCCGTTGAGGGTAAGCAAGTGGGAATTGTTCGAGGATATGTAATGCAATGGAAAGAGAGGTATAATGAAGTAAAAAGGTAAGAATAATGTAAATGTGATTGGAGGAAAATCTTGGTTCATTTTACTCTCATAAGAGATGCACCTGAGATAGGACGAGGAAGAGGTCGGGGAATAGGCAATAGGAAATGCGAGAAAGAAATGAAATGCTGTGACTAAATTTGTGGGGATTGAGAGTAGTAGTAGAAATTGCATAGTTGATCCTGTACATGTTGTGGAAATGATGGCAAGGGTCATCTGAAACCAGGAGAATAACGAGAGAATTCAAGTTACAGATTATGTACAGAGGAAAAGGAAAATAGACAAAAAGCTAAGATTGGGACTTCCCATGGTCAAGGAAAGTGAAGAGAAGAATTTAAGGATGGGAATAATGGACAGGTTGGGGGTGCCTAGAATTAACACAGAGTAGTTAGTGTTCCTTCTTTCTCTATTTGCCATTATTTAGCTCTAAACTGTGGTCTTTGAGCAGCTTAGCTCCTCCCTTTGGCTGGGGCACACCTGTGGTCATTATCAAGTTGATGCTGAGGTGCACCTGTAGACCTCTTAATGTTTTGGTTGAACGTAAAGGAGGCCAGTGGTTCTTTGGAGAACATAAAGAGGTTGGGACAGACTTTAATTTGAGGAGGGATAGAGCAGACAGATTTTTTGGGGAGTGAGCAAGATCAATGATGCTTAGACATGGGGTTATTTAGTTCAGATGTGTATTTGATTGGTGATTTATTTGCTGCATAACTCTTGCACAGAAAGAAACCGTCATTTCCATTAATACAAATAAATTGGCTGATTTTATGACTTAGATACAGCAGTTTTATGGGTTGCAGGTTAGTGCCAATATTTGAAGGGGTTTGTATTATGTGGGCAGTGATTTTTATTTGTTGACCAGACTGATAAATTTATAGAAATAGTTTCCTAAGTTAACCACTTGCTGCCAGGGATGGTATGTGCGTACGTGCCATGCCGACTGTGTGTTGAATTTAGTAATTGTTTTTACATATAGATGGCTCCACAAGTACGAAGTCACTAATGAGCCAATTACAAGAACTACCTGTCTCACCTGTTTACCCATTTCCTTGATTTTCAACAATATTTTCTGGTATTTAATACCGCTGTTAGCTATGTTAATAGCAATATAGTAATTATAATGTTTATAAAAAAAATATTAGTGACTATTGATTGCATTAATAAAAAAAGGGTTTTCACTCTATTTCAAGGAAAGGGGAGGTCACAAGATATATTAATTGACTCCTTTGTGGCTATGTACAGAAACATTTAACAAAACAATACTAAAGTGAACGCAACATTTTCCCATCGGCATTGGGTTAAGATTAGAGAAGTTTTCCTACTTTCTTTTTAATACATATATGTATTTTTTACTTACTTTTGTACATATATATTAATATATATGTATTTTTTACATAATTGTTCATCTAAACTCAGATTTCCATCAGTATTTTTGCTAACAATTTTGTCTGGGCTTAACTTTCGTATATTTCAGCATGAATATGAAGAGCTTCCCATTGTTATAGTGATATCTTTCTTCCTACAGGTAGTGCAGCAGCAGAGGAAAGTCTGAAAGTGGACTGTGATATCCTCGAGAAAAAGTATGAGTTAATCAAGGATTGTTATGAGCTGGACCAACAAGCTGCCGAAAAAACAAAATATATGTCTGATTATGTAGAAAGAGATTACTTCCCCAAAGAGAGAAGCGACAAGGACCATCGCAAAAGGTGGCTGAGTAGCAACACCTGTGGAAGTAGTAAAAGGAGACCTTGGAGTAAAGACTATACCAGTCAAGATTATAACAGGAGCACCAGGAGGGAGAGGAGCAGCAGGAACAGGAGGAAGCGGAGTAGGAGTGGTAGCCGGGAGAGAAGCTGGAGCAAGAGGAGTCGCAGCCGGAGTAGGGGGAGGAGTGGCAGCACCCAGGAGAGAAGCTGGAGCTCACGGCAGAAAATAGATGGGGAAGGAAGGAGAACCAAGAGGAAATCAAGGGAGGAGGAGTCACCACGACCGAGAAAGGTTGCCAGATATGGTGAGAGCAGGTGTAATTATGAGAGTGAAGACTACAGATACAGTCATAGGAAGAGGAAAAACTCATCCAGGGAATATGTTGAAAAAAGTTCAAGATCTGAAGGATTATCAAGAAGCTCATCAGAATGGAACAGAAGTAATTAATGGTCTGTCTTTATTAATGAATGTGTGGTTGCATATTTATGAAAGCATAAGGAAAAAAATTCTTTTGATCATTCTAAAGCTGCCTTCTCCTCCATCTTTCTTTCTTTTCCTCTTCCTTTTCTGCCTCTTATTCGCCGTCTCCCTTTATGAAGAACTGCTAGCTGTGAATATTGCCATTCTAAGTCATCTCAAACAGGGATGTCAAACATACAGCCAAACATTTGCACATTGCCAGTGGGACATTTGCTGCTCCAGTTATATGTTGTGTATCACTTGAATAGACAATATATGGCTTTTAATTCTTTTCAAGAATTTCACTAGCATTATACTCTTAGTAAATGAATACTTGCTTTTGGGTGCATGTGTGTTTTTAATAGCTTTCAGTGAGCTCAAGAGTAGGCCGAATCCATCCTTAATTTTTGCAATATTACTCACCTAACAGTTGTAGATTGCTTATAGTCATGTTGTCTGGCCTACATGTGTACTCTGATTATGTTACTATAAATATGCTTGACATCCTTGTTTCTCTCAATCTTTGAGAAATTACTGTGGCAGTATGTCATAATTTTCCAAAAAGTAGTTGGCTTGTATATATTTATGTGGATAAATGTATGCAGTAATGCATTCTTTATAATCTTGTTTTAAAGGTGGAACCAGCAGATCTCACAGAGTTTCCTATAGAATGGCATCACATTCATCACCTGAAAGAAAAAGGAAAAGGAAAAGGACGTCTCGAGAGAGGCGGAAGCCAAGCTCCTCTAGAAGAAGTCCAAGCATGTCACCATCCTCATCATCATCGTCACATTCGTCATCAGAGACGTCATCGCCTGTATTGCCTACAAAATCTTTCTCCTCGCTCACAACTCCAAGAAACGTGACATCAACTTCATCATCATTACCCATAGCATCAGCTTCATCTCCACCCTCATTATCCTCGTCCTCATCGTCAGTATCCGTATCATTATCCCCATCAACAGTCTCCATACCTACAGTATCACCAGCTGCTGTATCTACAGATTCTGGATGTGATTCAGGGTCAGTACTAAATAACAAGTCTCCTGGAAGCCGCTTTCAGGCGCTGGCAACTTTTTATGTTGTAGAAAATTGTTTATTAGGAAGATTATTATTCAGGCACCGTACTTTTTTATTGTTTTCCTAAAATGACAAGGTATAATCCCTTTTTCTTCCAAGTAGACCTCAGGGATACTGATAAGTGGACCACCAACTTCAACTCATGTATTAGAAACTCATGCCTTCCATTCATAATGGCATGTATTTTGCATGCTAGAGGAGAAACTGACAGTCTGCGCAATAGTAGCACTGAATCATAAACTTGATAGGGCAGGGGCTGTACATAAAGAGGAATTATATAGTTAAGCACAGTTGATGTAGAGAAAGATTTAAAATCCCAACTGAATTTTTCAAACATGGTTTTGAATGTGTTACAATTTATTCATAAGTATATTAGTCTCTGAACAAAGTAATTACAAAGAATGGTTGGTGTTATTGACAAGGGTAGACTGCTGTAGAGTTTATAAGCTTATTATTAATAAGGAAAAGTTTGAGATTATTATCTGACTGTTGAGCAAAGATATATTTTTATTGTGGTACAATATGCCAAATGTCAGATGAATAATCATAGAGCTCCATCAGATGAAAAGATACAGGAAAGTTAGATTTTAGTATATTCTCTACAAGGAAAAAATTAAGTACACAATTTTAAGCATTATTATTTTCTCTCTAATCAAACCAACAGGAACACCATAAACCCAGATGTCATGAAGCAGCTGGAGAAAGCAGAGGAAGACCTGAAGAATAATCTGATGTCAGAATATCAGGTGTTCCAAGAAGTACCAGAAATCCATCCTCAGTTTGAAGAGGTGCATGACATGTTTCTGGAAGAGTACAGGAGGAAATTCGGAAATGTGGAAGACTCAGAATTGAGTGATACAATTTGGAAAAAGTTTTGGAAGGAAGTTTTGCAAGAGAAACAAGAATCTGAGTGTCAGGAGAAACTTGAAGCACTCCGAAAGCAGTACAAGGTTCTTAACCTTGAAAAAAGCATAGATCCGTCCAGAGATGCGTGTAATGCTATTGAAAATAGTACAGTGATTAGTCTTAAGGGGCAGTCAGATAGTACTACAACCCTAAGTGATACGGAAAATATTTCTTGTGTGAATGAAGACCTAGTAAAATGCTCATTGTTGCAAGCATTTGCATTACTGGAGGAACTTTCAGAATTTCTTGGTATTTTTGCTCCAGCAATGAAAATGTTGATGGAGGAGGTTGTGAAATTAGGTGTAAGTTCTCAAGAAGCTTTAGAAGTTTTAAGCAATGATGATAATAACATACTGATTAAAACGGTGTCTCACAAACTTTTGAGTCTGAGCAAAGCAGTAGAAAGTCCTCTTAGTGATAGACTGCTTGAAGGAAGCACTGAAACCTTGAAATTACTCCAGTATTCGCTAATGTCACCGGAAGGAAAGAAATCCGTCAGTGCTGTTGATATAAAAGCTGTTG